TGGGGTGTGCCGCGGTGCGGCCGGGTGGGGACTACCCCTCTGTGTGCGTACGGTGTGGAAGCGCCGCTGCCATGCCGCGCTGTGCCATCCCCAAAATTAGACTTTCGCCCGCGAGGCTCCAAAAGAAACACACATTTCGCCCGCTCAAATAACTCGCGCACCGGGCGTGGGCCCATCGCGCGAATAGAATAATATCGGGATGGCACTGGAGCGGACGGCTTCAGGCTCCCGGGGGGCGCGGGCTCACATTTCAGGCGGGGGGAGGTCCAGGGCTTTCAGGTCAGTGACCCGTTCCCCGCTGCACCACTGTTTTACATTCTTGTTTGGCGTTGCGTAGACTAAACCCTCATCATGCATAATTGTATGTGTTGTGCATACTGGACTTGCATAGTTATAGGCATCTATAGTGATACACAACCTTCCACGCCTAAATCAATTGCACATCCATGTCCACTGTGCACGAATTTGTGTATAGTCGAGTACAATTTTTGCATATAGGGTAGGTACTGCAATCTGGTAATTTCTCTGGTTATATATACTGAACCGCATGCAGGCGTGCGGGCAGGCTTGCTGGAAGTCTCATGGTCCCGTGGAAGTATGCAGCCCACCCGTTCACTAGCATGCAGTACAGAGTAACCAGAATAAAGGCCAGCGCAGAACAGCCCACACTCTGGATACGCAAGACAAGCCTGGCTGTATAAAATACAGCACTTGTTTGCACAACACGATGTAGGAGGGTTTTAGGGTGCGCATTTTTGCTCGGCAGACGAACCGCGACGAGGAAGATCATAAGGGAGCTGCTGTCGGCCCACGCCGCCCCGCCACTTAAAGAGGAACATCCCTTTTGAAACGGTCTCATTGAGGTAGTATCATACCATATAGCGGAAGGGGGCGGTGAAGGGGCAAATCGAAAAGGATAAAAAAAATATGTATGCTCGGAAAAACCAAAGAATTGAAAGAAGAGAGTCAAGGATGAATAAGGAGCTCAGTACCAACGGCTGCACGTGTTCTCGTCAAGGGGCGGTGATAGCCGTGCCTTGCAAAAACAGCTCGACGCTGCGTTAATCAGAGCTCGGGGGAGGGAGACGGGAGGGGAGAGCTAGCCCGTCAACTGTGCCACTTAATTTAAAAACTTACTAAAGGGGCATTAAATATTCCTCACCAATTAAAAGAAAATTCCTCACCGCGCGCCCCGCGCGAAGAAAAAGATAAACTGCTCGCGTGTGGCGGAAGGAGAGAGTAAAACACCCCAATTATTCCGTATACTTGGTGAGCTCCGCTGCCGCCTCCGCCGCGCCGCCCAAACTTTTCCCTCATACGTAATCACCTGTCGGGAGGAAGAAGAGGAAAAGGGGGAGGGAGGGGGGCGTAATTATTGTTGAACTCCCCGTCCCGTCCGGGGTTGCTCTGGTTCCTGCGCGCGCACTGCACTCTAAAAAAAATCAATACAAAATTCTGTAACATTGTTACGCAGTAATTTACATATCACATGTTACAGAAATTTGTATCATTTTTGATACAGATTTTAATCTGTAACATGGATACGAAAATCTGTATCACCTGATACAGAACATCTTTGGGATTTTAAAATTGTAAATCTTCATTTTACTCTTCCTCCCTTTCTCCCTCTTCTTTTTTTCTAGGGGACTTAACTCCTTCGATTTTCTTTTTTACGTAATGTAACTTGCCGCACCGGGAGTTGAACCCCAGACCCTTGGATTAGGAAGTCGCGCCTTTACCCGCGCGGCCACCCAGGCTACCTGAGGAGAGGTTCGCTGGAACCCTGTGTAATGCCACCGGGGCTCCTGGAGACCGTGCCAACGAAGTTCCATAATTCTGTATCCAGGGTTACAGAAAATTGTATCCACCGTTACCTGATCTTGTATCTGTTACAGAAATTAGTAACATTTACGGTATTTTGTAACATTTTGATCAGATTACAGAATTTTGTACCCATGTTACATGTTTCCATATCACAAGAGCCTGATACAGAATTCTGTATCAAATTTGATACAGAATTCTGTATTATTTTTTAGAGTGTGGGATTACAGCGCGTGAGAAGGGTGCTGTCAGGGCGCAGCAGCGTCCCCCGTGCCGGCGAATAACGACGCTCTGGCGACAAGACGAACAGATGCTCCCAAACTCGGCAGTGTGGAATAAGCCGTAGGGACCCACACCGCAATTTTCACAATCAGAAAGCCGCAATGAATTGAACTCTTTTTTCCATGCATAAAACAGAGTACATGGACAGGCTGCAAATGGCGTGCACTTTTTAAGTGTTGAACACAGTGTTTGCCAAGTGTTGCACACTTCACTCTGTATGGCTAGATTTTTGAATATAACGAAGTGTTCAGCAGTAGGTTTGAACACTAGAAAGAAGGTCTACTTGACATGTTGGAGCATGCAACATTGATCACTTAAATGTTTTAACGGTACCAGTTTAACACTTTCGAATAATAACATATCTATTTAATTACCTAAACAAAGTGCACAAACACACTATTGAAACACAACGGCACGCCAGTTGCACATGTCAGTCTTAAAGAGCTATAAGCGATAGATCATAGAAATTTGTTATAACGCCCACTGAAAAAATAAGCACATTACAGTGGGCGTCTCCCAAAGTGACCGCGTGCGGCAGTGTCCCTCCCCGAACGTGCAGTGCGGCAGTCGGCCGGACCCGGAGGCGGGCCTCCTGCCCCGTTCCCACGCCATGGAGACAGCTATTTGCATAAACTACCAGCGCTAGGTCACATCCTCCAGGCGGACCGAGCGGTCGGTCGGGCCGACTCGGCCTGGCTGCACTGCAAAAGTTAAAACTGAAAGACCAAGAGGCCAGGCGCCGGCCGTGTCCGAGTGCAGCACGGGCCGTCAGGCGTTGCGCCCCTTTCACCCCACAAGCAGTTTCCACGGCGTTTCCTTCGCCCCCTCAAACCAGCAGACCACCTCGTGACAAGGCGTGGAGAGGCGTGGCGGGGAGTGGCGTGGCGGGGGCGGAGGGAGCGCAAACACGTTGAAGGGCCCAAGACGTGCTTCTGACGGGCGCATGATGGAGAGGTTTATTGCCGACCGATTCCACTGCCACGCAAAATAATAATAATAGAAAAAAAATCAGATGTAGGGAATATATTTTTGGCACGTCCGCTCCGCGCCCCCCGAAGCGCGCCCCAGCCGCCGCAAACCCCCTTGTGCCGCCTGTCCATACCCAGACAGGTCATTTTTCAGGGCAGTGCGCCTCGAGGCCTCGGCCTCCTTCCTTGACGCGCCACTGCGCCGCTCCGCCCACCACCCCACTCCCCACGGGCAGATAGGCAGATAGGCTTATCAGAGGTCCGAGGCGCAAACAACCCGACAATAATTCGCCCTGCGGCTGTCAGACGTAGGCGCGGAATTTACTACTCCCCCCCTCTGCCAACCGACGCCCCGTGAAACAATGGAAACGGAGAGATGGAGAGCGAGTGTGTGTGAGGGAGAGGGGTGTCTACCCACGAGCCTAGACAAAATACTTGTTTGTTTTTTCTTGACAGATGCACAAATGTGTACATAATAATGGAATCAGAGAACGCAATTTGCATAAATAATTGAAAAATAACTGCCAAAATAGGTAAACGATAATTGTGTTCGAATTTGTTTCAAATTATGTACAGACTTCTAAGTAAATACACCTTGCACTTTGACCTTTCAATGGTCTGTCACTGCCTGAGGAGTTAACTTGCACTTATAACTAGCTTCCTAACCGTATTTTGGGAACTTCCGATGTGCCAGGCGGCAGTGACAGACGATTAAAATGTCATGCATGCACTTAGTACCATGGTACTAAGTGGACTTATTCCCTTCTTCCGCTTCTCGGCAGATTTGTACATTCTACTGCAGGACTCGATCTGTCCTTGGATCTGAGCGTATGCACGATGAAGAACAAAAAAAATAAGAGTGTACACGTGCATGTGGCCCCACACTCTGCTGGCCATCTTTTCCAAGCGAAAAAACTTTCATTCTGCGCGCGGGCGCAACTTTGCGCCCTAGAGCGGGGACAGCAGCGCTGCCGCCGCAGCCGGGGCGAACAGTGTTGCAGACCGCCGCCGCAAAATGTCGCCAAATTAATTGCACGGCAGGGCACCGGCCCCTGTCACGAGCACCAATCGCAGGCGCGGGCACAAAAGGGGGACCGGGGGGGGGGGGGACGACGTCACCGATAGACACGGAGCATTCTTTAAACAAATACAAAACAAAACTGGGGCGACCCTCCATCACGCCACGTGACCACAATAGCGCGGGCGGCATTCAAATACCGAAACAAGAACAACCCTGTGACACTTTGTGACAGGCGGCGCGGCACCCCTGGAGCGCACTCGCCCGCACTCGAACGCGCGCACACACATACACACGCAGCACACGCACACGCTCTGCACACGTCACAACTTTTTGCCCCCTTTCATCCCCGCGACTCCGACACAACAGTAGTGTGACTCTTGCACGGTACAGTGCGCTGACCGCTCACTGACCGCCTCGCAGCGCCGCCGGGCGGGGCAGGGATGGGCGCTGAGTTGGACAGGCTGGGCCCGGGGCCCCGGGCTCCCTACGGCCCCCTCGGCCTCTCCGCACTCTCAGGGCGGGCGCCCTCCAGGGGCCAGTGCATTCTTCATCACGCCGGCACTCTCAAACACTGCAAGCAGGAGTTAGCCCGCCGGGCTCGGGTGTACGGCTCTCCTCTTCAAGACCGACCCTCTTGTTTTGTCTCGCTCGAGCCGCCTTCTTTTCCACGGGCCACGGAAGCCCTCTCCGCGGGGACCGCCTCTTGACAACAGTCCCCCGGGCCCGGGCCCGGGCCGGGGCTTCTGAGATGAAAGGACGCCCGTTCCTCAACGTCCTCCCCACCTGCCCAGGCTCCCGCCCAGGCTCCCGCCCGGGCTCCCAGCGCCCGCCCAGGCTCCCGCCCCGGCGAAGGCTCAGCGGCACGCACGCCGATCACAACACAACTCTGCTGCACTGTAATCCATTACCGGTGGAACACTCGCGGCGCGGTGGTCCGCCACGGCGCCGGCGGCCAGACGGCGACGTCTGATTGACGGACGGACGCGAAACGGGCGCCGGGCGTGGCGGAGCGTGGCGCGGCGTCGCGGCGGCGGCAGCGGCAGCGCGGCGGAGCGGAGCGCGCTGAGCGACCTGGTCGCTGGGTGCGTGAAGACTGAGCCTCAGGCCGGGCCTAGCCTCCACACTGCGCAAGCCCCCACCGCTCCACCCCACTCCCCGCGGCCTCTCTCCCGTCGCCTCTCTCTGTCCCTCTCCCTCTCTCTCTGATTCTTTCTCTCACTCACTGACAATTCTCTCCTTCTACATTTAATGGCTACTTATCGAAGGTTCTCGATCACCCCTGCGAAAAGGTATGACTGGGGAAATATTTTTCTACGGCGCCAAGTTTTAAAGCTCTATTAAGTGCGCGCGAGAGGATTACTTTCGGATCCTTTCAATCGCGCATCTTTTTGTTTTTTCCCGGTGGGCGGGGGAGGTTTAAAGCCCCGGCGATAGCGCGCGCCTCGCGATTTGAATAATCCTTGCGCGTGGCCGCTGCCCCCCGGGCGCCGCGCGCTATCAGGATCATCACCCACCACGTGGGGCCACGTGACGCTCCTGTTGACACGTGGGGCCACGTGTGGGGCACGTATGGCCGGCTCCACCTTTGATTTGCCGTGGACCCCGCTGTTGACATGTGGGGCCACGCGCGGGCCTTCTGCCTTGCCGTGTATCCAAGTGTAAGCAGTCACTCTCCCGTAGTTTGTCGGAGGGGGGATTTTCTACAAGCAAGTCGCCGCTTCCGTTGCTAGGCAAACCGGATGCATAATTGAAGCTTTGGGATGCTCGCTCAGGGACGGCGTATTCGTAATTGAAGCTTGCGCGAAGATTCTGCCTTTCTTTCTCAGCCCATAAAGCATCCGTCGCAAGAATCGTCCGCAAGTAGGACTTCCGTGCGGCAGGGTCGTGGCCTGCCTCGATGTAGCTCGTGCGAATGGAAGGCAGCAGAGGGTGGGTGAAAGAAGAGGAGATGAAGACTCCGAGGGGAAGCAAGTAAAAATGTATTATTCTTTGCAAAGACCATCCCGGACACTGCATCTGCTTAGCGCCCCATTTGCAAGTCAGGTGTCGCTTAGGACAGGCCCTCAATATATTCAGCTGGAGGGCAGGCGCGCTGTTCCAGCGACATCTGATCGGGCCTGCCCAGGGTCGCCCCGTCCAGAGCGAGGCAGCCGAGCGGAGCGAGTGTCTAGGGACGGCGACGACCAGGACCTTTGTTCCCATACGCGGCGGTCCAGCTGACCCACCAAGAAGGAATACAATCAGCTATGGGCCGGCGGCAGTATGGCCCGTACAGAGCAGCCACGGCGACACGACGACGTTGACCGTCCACAGCAGAGCACACTTCTTTTTTCCCATTCTTTTTTGGCAAGTACAGCAGAAGAGCCACCGTCACGACAAGTAGTGCAGCCCGCCCGCGCGCCGTCTTCCAGCGGGGGCCAAATGGCGTGTGGCGGCCCGCTAATAATACTACGGCAGTGACAATTTGGCAGCGGCCCAGCCCAGCGGCGCACCGGGTAATAAGTGCTCGGCAGCGTCGCATCGGCCGGCGGAAAAATGCTGTCTCTCAAGTCAGCCGTGACGACATGACGACGAGCGGCAGATGGCTCAATCATTTTTCAGGTCCTTGCCTGCTGCATGCATCAATGTGCACATTCTATGTTTCTGAGGAGTAATTCACCACTTTTATGCTAGAGACCATAGCACCCCGACTTTTCAAAATACAATATAGACGTCTATACACTCTAAATAGCAAGGAACAATTTTTATCAATTGCAGGATGCACCTGTGAGCACATTTTGTAAGATTGAACTTTGCACCATAGTCGAACAAAATAGTTTCTTTCAATGGAACACACTAACTGGATTTGTATCTTTTATTTGTACCAACTTAAGCAATCGAATTTTCGTCACACATTTCTGCGTTGATATGAACACTTTTGTGCATTCATTAGTAGGAAATAATGCACTTTGTCGTACAAATTTGTGCAAAACGAAACGTATGTTTAATTAGTGCGAACATTTACACAAAAACACACAAATCCATTTAGTGTAAAGTGACATACATTTGTCCCTACTTCTGAATTCAAATTTACATCTTACAAGAAATGCAGAACAGACGCATCATGCAGTTGACAAGAATAGTTCCTTGCCATTTAGAGCTTGATCAGGGTGACTGGTGACTGTGGGCCGTCCCATGACGCTTGCATGAGTGGGACGGATATGGAATGACTCACTTTACATGCATGTTTGTTCGCACTATATTTAAACAAGACCAAGTGCAAGACCGTGTCGCTAGTAACAAACAGTACGGTTTACACATTTCACATTTAATAGTCGTCCTTTCAAAAACGCGACGGATGGGCGTAAGGCTATTGGTCCATTATTTGCGGGGACACACAAAAACTTCGTCACAGCGCAGAGTGGCGTCCCGCGGGCCCGCGGGCCACAGGCAAGGTCCCTGCCAGCGTCACGCGACAGCGCGCGGCGGTAAGGCTGCCGGCCGCATAAGCAGCACGGAAAAAATGATCCACTCACAAACAGCAGCGGCGGGAGTGGCGGAGCTGGTCGGGGCGCCACCCTGCGATTTTAATCACTCACCTGAAACAGAAATGAAAAAAAGAACAACTCGTTAGAAACTCTGTGCGTAGCAAATAAGTCAGACATCGAATGGAAATCCGCGCAGTGCTGGCCGAGGGCTGTGCGACCGCCCAGTGGGGTCCAGTCCGCAAAAGAATCGCGACGAATCGAACGGGCGAACGAGAGGACAGGAAGGTTCGCGGGGAGTGGGAGAGGAGTGGCAAATGGTGAAATGATGAGGCGAGAATAAGAACAGGTGCCATCTGCTGCATTTCGCACACCTAATGGTGCGCAGTTTTAAACCAAACGACGGGTGCGCCCTAAGCCCGATAAACGCTGTTTTCTTTTTGTTTCCGTTTTTTTTGGGTCCTCTCCGCACACCAGCTCCTTTTGTTTTTTGTTCCATCGTTTATTTTAAAAGGCGCGTTGTTGATGCAAACTCTGATTGCTGTTGAATAGGTAAAAACTTGGGCCTCCACTTTCCCCCTCCCCCCTTTTGCCACGGTTCGGGGGAGGAGGGAGGCAGGGGTCACGCCGGCAGAAGGGGTCACAAACAGACCGCTCCGCTCCGCATTTCGTTCATTACCGCCCAGCTTTTCACCCCCCGGATTTGTCCTTCATTACGCCCGAGCGGACGCTTGGGGTAGGAAGATGGCGCGAGGGGAGGGGGTAGGCCGCACCCCCAGGTCCGCACTCGAGCAAGCCCCGGCCGGCCAGTCCCCAGGTGAGTGTCCACGGTCCCACCGCAGCGTCCCTCCGCGCCCCTCGCCCCTCGGCTCAGTCTCTCCACCACCGCCCTCCCCTTACCCCACGCGGTCCCCTTGCTCTTGCATGTTGGGGGAAAACATGTGGCTTTGCGACCCACTGAGCCGACCGAACCCGCCGCCCCCCAACTCCCAGTCAGTTCAGTGTTACGGCGGATAAACACGGGAAGTCGGCCCAGAGAAAACGTCCCATCTTTCTTTTACGTTGTGTTTTGACTACTCACCACCAACTAAAATCCAATGAACCCTTCGCACAAGCTACTGATTTCTGTGTGCGTGTAGTTTCTGCTTGAACCACGCTTTGGTTTGCCATGGTTTGGTTTTAAAAAAGAAGGTAAACAGATCAGTGATTGTAAAGGGCGTTGATAGAAATACAAACGTTTTAAAATATAAAGAGGTCATCGATGGGGGTCATGTTACGATCATTCACCCCGGTCTCGTACTTTTTCTGTTTAGCAACACCCAGAGAAGCTTTGATAATTCCAGCTGCTAGAGGGACTGGGCTGGGGGTAAACGTCTCGAAAGGGCAAGGACAGCGGACAAAAGGTGGCGAGGGATGAGGCCATCATAACGACCCACTCCGTCTTGATGCAGCTCCTCCATGGCCGGCCAATTTGTATCTCCCGGCCCTGCTGCCTCTTCTCCCTCGTCCTGTGCCACCGACACCTCCACTCCACTCGGGCCGCCACCACCGCTCCGGAAGCCCCCCGCTATTTATCCGGGCCATGAAAGGTGAGACAAATTGTCTCCGGCCGCGGTGCCCACGCCGGCCCCACCACTCCCCGCCACACCGCGCCCCCGCCAGACAGACACGCCCCCGCTCGACAAGAAGGGTTGCAGTATATGGGCCGTCGGATATCTCTGTCAGCGCCAGCAAGAACGCCCTCCTGCCACTTGCCGTTATTGTAAAGCGAGCCGGGGGGAGGGGGGGCAGAGAGGGAGGGAATTCCCGCAGCAATAGCAAACGGCTTCAATGAGAATGTTTTCCTATCCCCGCCCCCTCCTCTCTTGATTGCACACAGCAGCATGATGATGTGAGCGATGGATGATGGCAGCGCTCCTCCCGCGGTGATCCCTTTGCCCCGTGTCGCGCCGTGTCGCCCGCCTCCCCGTGCGTCAGTCACGCACCCGCGAATGAGATGATTGAGGCGCGCGTGCATGGCTGAGCATCAATGAGTACACCTGGCCCGACACACGGCACGGCGCACTGTCAATCACACCGACGCAAAGCAAAAAAGAAAA